TCCTCCCATTGCTGAGGAACCCTGAGAGATACCAGACCACAACACCAATGTTCCCATTTCCCAAGGATGGGCTAAGCCCAGACCAGAAGCAGCTCATGCTAATGTTTTGGCTGCAGGATGTCTTGGACAAGAATGGCTGGGTCTCCAGCCCGAAGGAGGACAGTCAACTTCATTTTCCTGAGTCTATATTGGTGTTGGATGGGAGCCTGGTCTGAGAGGACACAGGGTTCTTCTATGGCAGTGCTCCACTGAACGTGGCAATGGGTAAACACAGAAGAGAATGAAACTCGAAGGGGTCCTGGGGAGGCAAAGAGGACCTTCTCAGTGCAAAAAGATCGCTGTCCCTAGGTTTGTGGCACACAGAGATCTCACACCTGCAGGGGAACAAAAAGAAAGCAAGATATAAGTAAGGTGTGTGACGGAGAATCACGGTCCTCAGGTGCAGCAGAAACATCTGCAAACAGACAGGAATCAGTGCAGTCTTTAACAGGACTGGAGTTTGAGTGCTCAGAGTTCAGGTCTTTAAGCTGGCTTAGACTGGGACCTAGAGCAGAAGCATTCATAAAAAGTAGTTTCTGAAACTTATTAGGGAAAATGAGAACTTTTGGGAAGAGGGAAGCAGCTCCTTTTCCATTTCGTGCACTGAACTCTCCCACTAGCTCCCCGAGTTGCACAACAAACACGTTGAGTAAAATACTTCTCTTTGGGGTTATTTGAGATATAAGATCCAAAAATCTTTCTCCATAGGACGCAGCGTAACCTTGCAGAGGTCTGCTCTCCCTGAGGGAGGAATTAAAGTGCTTGCACATTTTTAAGGCCCGTGGATCAACTGGTTTGATCTCTTTGTGCTCATGAAGTATGTTGTCTACAGTGAGTTTTCAAATTGCATCACCTGGGAGCCAGCTTGGTGCCCTGGGGACACAACTGATGGATGAAGTCCAATGAACAATTCTTGCTCTACCCCAGTCTCTTCCATGAAGATCACGGGTTCCTTCTGCGATGGGTATGCCAAAGGTGGTGGACAACCCAAATGAGGTTTAGAAGTTGAAAGTTCTGCTCATATGCCCAGCGCTCTTCAAACACCTCATTTTTACTGCAGAACTTTCCCCTAGTCATGCTGAAAGAGCTGTCTTTACGGAGTTGAACAGTTGACTGGGGACCACCCTTTAGACTGTGGCAGTCATGAAGGTAAACTACTGCTGGGATCTGGGCAGGACCATCCATCCCACCTGAGCTCAGCTGCACTACAGAGCCTGGAGCTATGTCACCCAGCTTGGGCATCTGGCATAGATCCACCATGGTGCCCAGGACCTCATCCCCCCGTGGCCACCCATGCCTCATGGACATGTCCTTACACACAGGATGCACCGACTGCAGCGGGCAGCCGGCCACATTGCAGTTCCTACCTGGTTACACTCTGCAGGATCTTCTGCTCATCCTGGTCCAGGCACACAGCAAAGGAGGACTGGACACCAATAATCTGGACCTTGTCTACTTTTATCTGGGACACACTGATCTGCTGATAGAGAAAGAGTCTGAGTGAGGGAGCTGCCAGGCTCAGTGCATTTTCCTGCGCAGGGAAGTGGAGCAGGGGAGCTGGGCACCCCTAAGGCAGGCCTGGTGGCCAACAGCAAACGAATCCCCCAAGGAGCTACTCACCCCTGCCCTGCCTCCCTCCCGTTACCAGATGTAACAGCACCATGACTTGAGTTACCTGATTGAAACTTTTTTTGGATTTGGAGTTTTGCCTTTTGACCACTTCTGTCATGGTTAAGTTGAGACACTCTGTCTTGGAGGCTGTAACAGAAGAAAATTGTTATCATTTCTGGGCGACTGGTGGGAACCCAAGTGGTCCCTCCACCCCAAAGCATCCCAGAGCCGGTGGCTCTCATCAGGATCCCACTGCTGGGAGAAACGCAGTACAGCTCTAGCTTCCCTTCCCTCATGCTAACCCACAGAGAAAGAAAGCAATCAAACACATAGGTAAACATACTCTATAATTTCCGACTGCTTTCCAAACATAGCAGAAAAGGACATTTAACTATCTTAGGATCTAAATAGGAGAAAAAAAAAAAAACATTGCCCCATCATCATGAAGAAATTCTAGCTCTGCCAGCATGGCCTTTCCTACAATCCACCTGGAGATGGGTTTTTCGTGTCTGGAATTACAGTGACATCCTGTGGTCAGTCTGCTGAATGTGGAAACCGATGGAGACAATCAAGGGGACTGGGTTTGTCTTGGAAGGAAGATATTTCTCCCCAGTGTGGAGCTCAGGACACCCCCTGAAGTGAAGACAGCGCTGGCAGCACAAGTGGAGCTCCTGAACTAGCGCAGAAACATCCAACTCGAAGTATAGAGGAAGTGAGAAATTAATTCCTGATGGTTTTTTCCCAGGGTTGTCTGCATGGCTTCATGCATGGGGCAGCAACAGGAGGGACAGGAGGGATAGAGGTTTAGGCTGAGCTCCATGAAGCATGTCTCCTATTTGGTAGATCACCTGTTTGCCTCGACTACTCTGCTCACAAACCACACGTCTGCCAGACACAAAGTACAGGAGGAAAGAAGAACTAAAAATACCCTCAGTTTACTCACAACTGGGTGTCTGATTGCCAAAATAGCAGTTCTTAAGCAAGAATGAACAGATATTGCTCCTAAATACACACACAGACTGAAAGTCTTGCTGCTTTTAAAAGGCTCAAAGCCTTACTAATACCTCATCAGAACCTCATCAGAAACCTGATTAGAAAAAAACCTGTGAAACAAAACCATGTGGGAGCCAGCCATCTCTGAGCTGCAGGAAGGAAACTAGGCTGAAGCACCAGCTTAGTGAGAGCCTGCTGAAAGCTGGCTGCAAGGTACAGCTGCCGCAGACAGCAGGACAAGCACCCTCTCCCTTGGTCCTACTTCATTTAACAACAGTTTTACCTGTCTCTCCTTCTCCTTACTAAACAAGTGTTTTTCTGGAAAGCACCACTCTTCAGTGATCATCCTTCTGTTTGGATCATCCCAGCCCAATCCCAAATGGACATCCCATTTCCCTGGCTGGAAGCTTTGGGACAGTGGGACGTCAAATGCCCTTTGTCCCTGATGCGGTGCTAAGGACAGCCAAGGACTATGGTATGCCCCAGGGAACACCAGGCACCTCCCATGTGTCTCCTGCATTTGCACATCCCTCATTTGCTCCAGCTAGAAGATCCATGCTATCCTCTTGCTCCACCAGTCCCTCCCATTGTTCCCTATGCAAAGCCACAAAGATCACCTCTACCCACCTAGTTCTTCATACTTCTTGCAGGCTTTGCTAAGGTTGACAGATGTGCAGACCTTCTCAACATCATTCCAATGACTTCTTCCACTGACGGCTGTCTGCAGAGACCAACCAAAACCCATGAGAGAGAATCATAGAATCGTTTAGGTTGGAAAAGACCTTTAAGATCATCAAGTCCAACTGTTAACCTAACACTGCCAAGTCCACCACTAAACTGTGTCCCTAACCACCACATCTACACGTCTTTTAAATATCTCTACGGATGGTGATTCAACCACTTCCCTGGGCAGCCTGTTCCAGTGCTTAACAACCCTTTCAGTGAAGAATTTTTTCCTAATGTCCAGTCTAAACCTCCCATGGTGCCACCTGAGGCTGTTTCCTCTCTTCCTGTCACTTGTTACTTGGGAGAAGAGACCAACACCAGACTCACCACAACCTCCTTTCAAGTAGTTGCAGAGAGCGAGGTCTCCCCTCAGCCTCCTCTTCTCCAGGCTGAACAACCCCAGTTCCCTCAGCCGCTCATCAGACCTGTTCTCCAGACTCCTCACCATCTTTGTTGCCCTTCTCTGGACACGCTCCAGCACCTCAGTGTCCTTCTTGCAGTGAGGGGCCCAAAACCTCCCACGTTATTCGAGGGGCGGCCTCACTGGTGCCAAGTACCAGGGCGTGATCACCTCCCTGCTCCTGCTGGCCACACCGTTGCTGACACAGGCCAGGAGGCTGTTGGCCTTCTTGGCCACCTGGGCACACTGTCGGCTCATGTTCAGCCGCTGTCGACCAGCACCCCCAGGTCCTTTTCTGCCGGGCAGCTTTCCAGCCACTCATCCCCAAGCCTGCAGTGCTGTGTGGGGTTGTTGTGACCCACAGGCAGACGCCACACTCCAGGCTGATGTTACCCAGCTTCCCACCCTTAACCATCTGTCTGAGCTAGCTCAGATCTGGATTTACCTGGAGCTGCACAGACTAAGTTTGAGTAGGCATTAAAATTAATTTAACCTTGCATTTGCAAAAAATTGCACAGACTTAACACTCAATAACTGCAGAGGAACCAAAATAGGAGGACTGCTGTGAGCAGCAGCAGAGCACTCCCTGGAAGCAAAGTCCACCAGTGTAAAGTGGCACTGAGTACGCATCCAGTCTATGGAAACTGGCTGCACATTCCCTATTTTACTGGGCTGAACAGGAGCAGAAAGCCACCTTCAATTAGCCAGTAAGCAGACAATTAGCTTAAATTTGGCTCATTTGGGCTTGTATTCGGGCTCCTCCAGCAGACTGTCAGCCTTTGCTGGTTTTCTGCCCCATTTGTCTTTGTGCAAGCCCCATGCACTCACCTTGCTGTAGGCGATCTGTAGTGTTAGTGGGATTGCTTCTCTGTCTCCGTCTATGCCCAGTCTTTTGCTGCCTGGACCTGCATGAAACAAGGAGCAAATGTCACAGAGTGGCCTTTTATCCCCATTCTTCATCTGGCTACTGAGAGCAGCACACTCAGTACCTACAGAAAGGGGAAAAAAAATGGTTTGCTGAACACAGCCGTGGAGAAAAAAAGAGGCAAAAAGAAAAGGTTGCTTAAAAGCTGCCAGAAAGCAATTAATCCACTGCAGAAATTTCAACACAAAGCACAACAAGCAGCTCTGCAAAACTGAAAGCGGTGCTGGCTAAGCCGGTGCAGAGGGGTCAGTGCTCCAGGGAAAACACAAAGCAATAAAAGGCTGCATTGCTAACCCAGCTCCTGTTTTTCTGGGCATATTTCTGCCCACATTAAATTAGCCTTGAAATGCTGTGCCCAACACTTACTAACTTTTTTTTTTTCCCCTGGATAATTTTTTGCAGATGTTAAGTGGTGTGCTGCCAGACAACGCAAGGAAAAGAAAAATCAAAGTCAAAAGGATTAATGGTTTCACAAGTTATTGGGAAGAGGTCTTGGCCAAGCCTGTATTTTGGGGCAGTGGGGTGGTGACACTTCATATGGAGAATATTTTATGAGCTCTGTTTAGAAAGACAAGGCAAGATCACAGAAAAGCAGTTGGTTAAAAAAAAATAAAGCAACACGTTCGAATGCAGTATTATTGGTTGGCCATGAGATGTCTCTGCAAGCTGCACAGCACCAGACAGCATGTTGTCCTTGGTAGCCGGGAGGGAGCTGGAACCATGCTGCAGGCAGATGCTGCTGCCATCTCTTCTTCTCTCTAGTAATTTTATAAATTCCTAGGAAAAAAGCCCATGGATCTCCCTTGCAGGAAGGCTCCAAGCACACGCACAAACCTCGCTTTGCCCAGTAAATTAAGGAAATAGAAAGAGGGATTTTATAAACGACACTTGTGGACAGAGCACAAACAACAGAAAGCAGCAAAAAGAAAAGCTGAAGAGCTGCATTCAGCCAGGTGCTGATGAGAGGAAGGAAACGGGCTTGAAGCTGTTTTACTGCAAATACGTTTTAGAGTTAAGAGCAGCAAAACCAACAAGGTCTTCCCACAGCTTCAACCCTGATGAGAAATTCAAGAACTATGATGCTTCACTTCCAAATTTGTGAGAAGATGACTGGATCTTTACTCTTGATGCAGCCTGGGATCATACACCTCTTGCAGCCCACACTCCCTCCAGCCTCTCTTTCCATTTATCTCCCAGTCCAGCAGTTTGCAGACCTCCATCCAGAGGCTGCAGGTGCAGAAGCAGCTACAGACCTGATGCCTTGATGGCTCGCGTGGCTGCCGAGTGGCCCAGCTCAAGGGAATGGATGAAGACTTCGGTCATCTTTTCTCCCCCAATGAAGGTGAGCTGCCAGGGGGGAGAAGAGTGAAGACGTGGTGGTGAGGAGATCCAGCCCGTGCCAGGCGATGTTCACCCCTCTCACTCATATTTTCAAAATACACCTTTCAACAACTGCCTTGGGTGACACTTGCCTTCAGCTGTACTTCAGACTGTTTTAACGGTCCACCAGCAAGTAAAACAACCCAAAAAACTAATTGTCACTTAAAGAAAACTCCCCAGCTCACTGGAAAGAAAACCCATCGTGAGCCTAACAGCAGGGTCTGGGCACTGCTTTGGGTGACAAATCCCACAAAAAGCAGCAACTCTTCTCGCCATGGCCCCACTGCAGCCAGCCCCGTGCCACAGCACCAAAGCAGTTGTTGCTGCCATGCATTCAACCTTCCTCACCATGTCTGCCCAATGCTCACAGCAGGGTGTGGAAAACAGGCTTCCTGGAGGGGCTTGGTTTGGAAAGCAGAGCACTGGAGCGACTTCCAGTGATAGGAATAACCTGTCAGCACTGACAGGAGTCTCTTTGTGTCATGGGGAAATGTATCTGGATGGAAAACTGCTCATGTGACGTAAGGATTGTCTGGGCAGGACCTGCACGCTCAGTCCCTGAGCCAGGAGCATCAGCCAAAGCACAGGGGCACCTGAGGAATAAGAGGAGACTGAGCTCGGCCTCACCAGCACGTGGTGGCTGTGCCACACCCCCATCGCTTCACGGGCAGGTCCTGAGTTGGTGGCACAGGCCGAAGACTCCCCTTTCCTCCACAGCAAGATGGGGCTGAGCCCCTTTGCCTACCTCCGTCTGGTAGAGCTGCAGCAGGACGGGGCGTGTGGCGAAGCGGCAATAGTAGAGGATCATGTCCGCCAGGATGGGCAGCTGCTCCTGGGAGTCCTCCTGGGCATCAGCCTCCGGCTTGGCAGACTGTGGTGTGAGAGCAATTCACGAGCCTGATTGGGTCTGTGGTACCCACAGCCCAGTGCCAAGAACTGCCCACCCGACTGGGGAAAGAAACCCTCCTTCTGACCACCAGGAACCCCCCATCTCCATCCTGTGTCCAGGTAGCACAGCCTCCTGTCCAGGATCGTGATGGCCCAGAGCTAAGCAGAAGCTCTCTGCTCAGCTTCCCTGTACCTCAGGGAAGGGGGATGCCAAGCCCTACCAGCTGGCATGCACATACCTGACACAAGACATCCATGGGCAGGTTCATCAGCCCAAGGACGTTGCGCTTGTACCATGGGTCCAACATGCCGATGTAGTGGGAGATGTCATTGGTGCTGCTCTCCATCCCAGCCAAGGTGGGATCCTGAAACCAGACGCACTGGGGTCACTCTGGGGGTCCCCCCGAGGCTCCTCAACCCATGCTTGGGGCTGATGGAAGAGACACCGATGGTCCCCTCAGCCTGCCCTGCTGGCCTCCTCACACACAGCTCTCGCGGCCAAGCAGAGCACTGGTGGCACCGCAAGCCCCGTGGCGAGCAGGACACCTACCGCCTGTGCCGAGGCCCGGAGCTGTGGGTCCCCCAGGGACGGGGAGGAATGCATCAGGGGGGTTGATGGAGCCAAGCAGCTCCTCTTCACAGGGACGTAGAAAAACTGCAGCTTGAAGTACCTTGTCAGTGAGGGGCACGTGCTCTCCTTGAGCCTAGGAGAAGGTGGGAGAGGGCCAGGTGAGCAAAGCCCTCTGGCATGTCCCAGCAGGGCTGGGTACCTGCAGCCGGGTCCCCCACAACCCCCGGCTCACCTGAGGTTGCTGTAGGCTCGGGCCACTTTGCCCGAGATGCGGTCAGAGCCGAAGACCACGACGCGCAGCGTGGACACCTTGGCATCTTCGTCGTAGCTGAGGAAGGGCCGTCGGTGGAGGCTGAGGTGCCGCGGGGCAAGCGGGGCCGGCAGACGTGCTGCGGCAGTGAGTGAGCGCGCCGGGAGCGTGCCAGGATGCGGTGCTTGGCCTGGGGGGTGCACAGGCTCTCGGCCCGGCGCAGAGGCAGCGAGAGCGAGCCCATGTCCGGGTAGTCCTTCAGGTCTCTCCTCAAGACCAGCTGGCTTTTGCTCTTGAACAGTTTGTAGATCTTGTTGGTCAGTGTGTGTCTGTATTTGTGGTGGGTCTTCTCTGCCTTCAGCTCTGGCCTCCCCACCACGTCCAGGGAGCTCTCGTCACTGTCCTCCGCGTACCCGCTGTCCATGCAGTCCTTCAGACTGGAGACGAACGACTTCAGGGACTTTCTGGAGACCACTGTCAGCTCCGAGATAGAGTCCTTGGAGGTGGTGAAGAGGGACACTCGTGAGGGCTTAGATCCTTCCTCCGACAGCGTCGAGTACACAGAGTCTTTGGAAATGGTGCAGACGGGGGAAAGCAGTGAGTCCCGCTCAGGGGAACAGCCATTGGTTTCCACCTCCTCCTCCTCCTCTTCATCCTCCTCCTCGTTTTCTGAGGCCATGGGCTCAACAACGCTGCACTCTTTGCTGAGGACATCATTGAGGATATCTGAAAGGCAGCCAGAGGGAGATCATGTCTTGCTCAGGCTCCAACATAACCATAGGAAATGTGATGACCCCAGACAACACTACTACAGTGTGGCCAACGCTCTCTTTGATCCTGCATGGTTTCCAATAAAGAGCTGAAAACAAACTGCTGAACATTTTCAGCTTTCCATAACATGATATGGTGCAATGCAAAACCAAACGCGTTTCTCTCCCTGAGGTCACAATCTGTTTGGGTTCTCAAAAGGCAAACACCAGTTGGGAGTTTGCTTCCTTCCTACACAGATTTCACAACGTGCTCGTGCCCGACCCAGGTTTAACCAGAGGGCAGGAGGAAAACATGGCATTTGGCTAGTCAAACCCCAAATCACCCCACTGCAGGCGGCCTCCTGGCAAGGCTGGACTCACTGCAAAGCCCAAGCCAGAGCTCTGGCCCAGCTTGCTTGGACCCGCAGGCAACGAATACTGTACCTTCACAGGAACAGAAAAGGTCTTCCAGGAATGGAGAAGCTGGAGAAACCAGCTCAGCAGAAAGGGAAGCCGCTGCTTCCCCTGCAAATCTGCTGCGGCGGGGCCAACAGC